GAGTTTGGAAGGCTCTATAGATGGCTAGTTTGACCGCGCGGCGGGTTTTCTGAATCATTATGATATCGGGGGGAGTTTGGAGGGACTGGAGGCAGTGTTAAAGATAGCCACGCTTCAGTCGGAAGCTGTGGTAATTCCATTGCCAGATAGTGGTTTGGTGCCTACTGAGGCGTGGCGGGCGTGGGAGAGGTAAAGCCATATTGAGGGATGCACTGTTAGAGGTAGGGTATGGATGGTGGGGGTGGTGGAGGAGTTTAGGACCCCAACTTGGATGAGATGTTGGTGAGTTGGTTTATTTGACTGGTGAGTTGGGCCAATCTGGAGGAGTACTTTGAGACAGCGTTTTCTATCGCCGTACAACGGCTGTAACGTTTTGCTCTAAGGTTTGCAGTCTGGCACTGAAAATGCGAGACATTGCGGTCATTGACGCCGAGTCGGTGTAATTTGTCTACGATTTTGAGGCCATAGTATTGATTACTCTACGCTTGACAGACTGGGCGGTGCTGTCAGGTGAGGATATGGCAACTGCAACGGGTAGTGGGGGAGGAGTAGGAGTGGGCGCTGGAGGGGTAGGAGTTGGCGCTGGAGGGGTAACCTTTCTGTTTAAGGAGGGGTCGTAAGTCTGCATTTTCCTTCTAAACGGCAGTGATTTATTGTGTGAGGGTTTGGACCTTTTGCCGTAGAGTTTGGACCTTTTGCCGTAGGGTTTGGACCTTTTGCCGTAGAGAGGGGCGGTGATGAGAGACATCCGACGGGCAAGGAGAATAGCCGGGTCGTGATTGCAGTCGATTAGGTATTGGCTGATGTTCTCCGGTGGACCGTAATCTGGCACATTAAAGATGATTCCGCGTGAGATCTTCGCAGGATTTGCCATATATGTGGCCAGAAAATAGTTCTCTTCGCCCTTCAGAGGGGGTGCTGAGTAGTATAGTTTTGAATGGCATTGATTCGAATTTTATCATCGCGTGCCACGTTGTAATTGGTCTGGGCAGTGTTAAAGACGAAGTCTTGCAGCTTGCCTGTGCTCATCGAGCTTAGGTTGAGGCCACCACGTGCACGGATGATGATCTTGTAGTAGTCAGGGAGTCTTGCGAGCTGCGGCGGGCGCGTCTTGAAGCCAGGCCTTGGCGAGCTGCGGAAAACCGGACGCCAAACGCGCCTCGCCGCTCGACTTGGTCGTTTACGTCGCCATCCGTTGTTTACCCTTGCAAGTTTTTTAGCCCTATGTTTTGCAGAAAGGGAGCTACGCTTTGTAATTTTACAAAAACCAACCTGTGAAATATACCTTTGACACAAAGTTCAGATTGCTATGTGCAGGCGCCAATTTTTATGGCCCATTTTAGATCGAGCCTGGTTATTTCAGTCACCCTATACTTACTGCCAGGTTGGATCACATTGGCATCTTATTAGCCTTCCTTTTCTTCACTTGGCTTTTACTAGTATGCTTTCACAAAAGTAGGAGTGAGGTCCTCGGTCGACTTCGGCGCGAACCTTAGCATGAGAGAAAATGGCAAAATGGCCCGTTTCCCGCCTTTCATGTACTTTATGTACCCGTAGATCATTGTGAACACTACGAATTAGTTTTTAACCTCTAGGTGGTAGTGGAACGACTGGTTGGCAAGAAGCTATCGAAGGAACAAGCGAAAGTGAGAAACCAGAGCAGCCAAGGCGAGCAATGCTGGCGACACGCACGGAGTGACAGCGGATTGGATCTCGGATTGGATTGAAAGTGTCAAAGACAGTTGGTTGTAAATTAGAACAGAGCAGTAACTTGTTACCAGTATAGGGTTGTTGCACAATACCATGGTTCAATGCTGCTACCACTTCGTGGATCTGATCAAAACCCACTGGAATCCATGTTGGAGGCATTCATTGCTGTTATCCTATGTTTTGTGTCCTTTGGGGCCTTGTCTGCATGGTACTTTGTGCACCCACTCGAGGTTGAAGACAGTCAGTTGCTCTGTGATTGTTTTAGCCGTAAAACTTGGTGTCAACGGAGCCACGGCCAGCAATATTGTTTTTTCTAGAATTCCGTAAATCATTAGGAACCAGGACAAGGCGACGCTCGAGCAATCGGTTTGCCGACATTATGAATGGCTCCCAACGGACACGCCGGCACAACCTCAACCAGGCGGGTAAAGACAGGAGTAGAACACGGCAAGTCCTGGGCGCTAACATCTCCAGTCCCGAGAAAAAGAGCGAAAAAAGGCAGAGAAATAAAGCAAACAAAAAGTTAGGCGTGTTCGTTTTGCCGCGACAAGTTGAAGTTGCTCGAGCACTTGTCAGGTTTATTTAAATTTATCACTGCGCGACTCCTGTGTTCTTCTGCAAAGACAGAAAATAACAAGGTAAAGACTTTACTGGTGATGTTTGGCTGCATCTTGGTGCATATAAAGGCCTCGGCAGCGATAGGGCTCATCGAAATCGCGAACTGGGACCGCCGATCTCCGCTTCTATGTTCCGCCATTTCGAAGCGGCCAAACGCAGGGGACCTTTCGTTTCGGATTATTATGTTAACTCTACACTCTTAAAAAAATAATTAAAAAAGGAATGGACGGTCGTTGACTGTACTCTTTTTGGAGAGAATCCGGGTTATCGCAAGCTATACTCTCTCTAGGGACCAGGAATATGAAAAATACATGCAAATATGTATCAAAATACAAATACAAAAATACTTCGTCAAAAATGTATTTAATTACGAGTCTAATTACATTAAAAAAAATTGCGGTGGCTTAGCTCGGCTATGCCAGGATATACGCAGCGTGAGCTTAGGCGCATAAAATGAGAGGTGCTATCAAGCAGCTCCGGTGCAGCGTCAGACTTGGCTACTGCGCAACGGAGGCACATAGCTGGGCAGGCGGCGCCGCCAGTGCGTCTGCCGTGGCTGTGACCTCACTCCTCTGGAATGCGAAGACTGGCGAGGCGAGCGCGGTGGCGGCGGATCCCGCGGCGACTTGGCCTCCGCCCCGCCAGCTGTGCGCCGTGCGACGTCACTGCTCCTCGCACTTGCGCAGCACGGAGCATGGCTCATTATGCCAGCCACGCGAAACTGCTCAATTTCGGCCAGTGTAGCTCACGCTACAAAAAGCATTTAAATACAAGATACAAATAGAACCAAATTTATTTGTTCTCTTCCAAATACTTTTCTAAATACATTCCTCAAAATTTGCGAGAGCGACTTCAGGGCACCTGCAACGGGTTTCTACGTATCTCTACGCACACTCTGGAGTAAGTTTGCGAGGCTCTAGTAACGTAATAGAAATATAATCACAAAAAATGTAATCAGCTTGGACGTAATAGGTGAAAAAGTACAGAGCCTCAAGCAGCTTTTTTTGTCGATTACATGTTGGTATATACCAACAAAGAACCGAGACGACCAAGACACGGAGCACTAGCTAAAGAATTTTTTATTGTTGCAACTCGCACCAGTTAACGAAAATCTGGACGACACGCGCATTTAGAATGTTCCAGGCAAAATTATGGATGGAAATCAGGCTGGAAAGCATCACAAGTTGTCACAGGCGCTTATTTAGCCAGTCTGCCTGTGAACGTCGATTTCATCACTATTCTTGCCCTGGACTAGCACCGTAATCACAAAGTCACTAAACGCTTGTGCTTGATTAAGAGACACTGCATTCGGTGCAGAACGTAGTTTTCTTTCTGCTCTGGACAGTGCCAATAAATTTGAGGGATGTATTTTCGCCCACAAAATTGTATTTAATTACAATTGTATTTGAAATACCCACCTTTTAGTATTTAAATACACACGTCAAATGCATTACCCAATTTGTAATTAAATAGAAATTCAAAATACACAAAGTATTTGAAATACATATTTCAATTACTTGTATTTGAAATACCGCCTATCCCTGCTAGGAATAGGTAATCGTTACCTTTCCACGACTAGTGTATGTTTTACTCTCCCATACGAGTGCTCACTTAACTTTTCTATAGTCACACAAATGGTTTTGCAAGAGTCAGGACTGTCTACAGGTTTTGAATTTCAGAGTTTGGTGCATTATTTTAACTGCCCTTTTTTGCTCCTAAATACAATTGTTTAAGCGACAACCAGTCTGTCGTATGTAAGAAAAAGTGTTGCCTGAACTCTGTACTAAAGAGTTAAGCACGCTCTCCAGGAAGAGTTATTGTAACCTTAGAAGTGGTGCCTGCACTCCGTATTAAAAAGTTTAGTGTGCTCTATAGCAAGAATTAATATTACATAACAGCAAACTTAGCAGTTTATATGATCCCTTCCTGGAGACTGCTTCACTCTTTCATACAGAGTTAGGCAACACTTGAAGTGGGGATTTAATTACTCGCACTAAAGAATTTTGTAGAGTAAGTACAACCCCATTTGGAAGTGTTGCCTAAACTCAGTATTAAACAGTTAAGCACACTTTCCAGGAAGGGTTCACACGAACTCTGCTCAAGTATAGTGTTATGTGCTGAGTGTAAAATCACCCAGTAAAAAGTAACGTAAATGCCTGCTAACAGAATTAGGGGAAGGGAAGTGTACAATTGGCTCCTTGTTAGTCAAACGTTTGCTGAAACAAAAAAAACTCTACTGGCAAGTGGCATTTTTAGCCTGTTGAAGTGCGACCACTGTACTTTTATTTTTGCAGCTGTTGTATCAAATTTCAATACCTCCCTTGATTTCTCTGTAATGTGGAATAGTACTTCTGTCCTTATTATGGGAGCTGCTACATACAACTTGAGACAACTCAAGCACTTTGCAATGAACAGTAGCCCTAAAATCTAAAAGCAGCTATGTATATGTTCACAAGGGGAGGGTTGCATTGGAAATGTGGAAGTGCAGCTGAAAAAAGACATAAAAGAGGGAGCATGAGCCTGTTCGGAGGCCATAGGTTTTCATGAAAAGTCAGCATAGAAAGGATAAAAAAAGTAGAATAGAGTTCAATAAGCCAACACTTTAATGTTAGGACGTGGGAAAAAAACGCAAAAATGGCACACATATTCCCTCTGGTGAACAAGTTTCTTACTTTGTGATGAGATCCAAAGCCAAGGCAGACTTTATATCGTACTTCAAATCAATGAAGTGCCCAATCCGTCCGTCACCTCAAATAAGTGGTTCTCCAACACCGCAGTTATGGCCTTTGAGTCCTCTTTGTCAATTCGCATCAGCGGATAGGTCAATCTGTCGTGTCGGTCCTCCTGTGAAGAATGAATGCTTAAATGTAGACTCAGCAGTATGAGAAGGGAGGAAGCAACTCACTAAGTGTAGAAGGGTATGCACTTGGGCTAGTTGGTGATCCATATTTCCGAGGGAAAAAGCGCCAAAAACAATGAACAAGTAGAAGTGTTGTTGGTTTCTTTTACTTTTCCATTGTTTTTAGTCTTTTACCCTCGGATATATAGCTCGCTAAGTGCCCTTAGTTAATAGGAGTGCATTCATTTGTAAGACAAGAGACCATTTGCGAAAATCCCAGGAGCCATTCACAGGATACGTTCCAATAGTTGTCTGGTACTTGTTTTCTTGCCGATTAAACGAGAGTCCGAATCGAACACTTAGGCAGCACTCACTGCTGGCTCACTCAGCCGCAACTACCCACGACTGTTTGTATCCCCTCTGATATGAACATCTAAGAGAAAAATGAACCACATCTCTCTTTTTTTCCTTTGTATGCAGTGGCAGCCATAAGGGGTTGCATTTATTTATGGCAGGGAATCCCCAAGTTTGCATACCCTATTAGTGGCATCGGAAGAAGAGGGCAAGGCAAGGGGGGCAATTGCCTCGCCCTCCCGCTTCTCTCTGAGTGACATTTAAACTATTATAGCAGACAATATGGGAGACAGGGACGGGGTTTAGCTCCCTAGCACATCACCCCTCCACCTTCCAAGCAATACAAACTCAGCTGGCTCCTGCCCATAGCGATGAAAGTCATAGCTCTATATAGACTAGCCTTAGGGGTAGGATGAATACAATACAATACAATACAATTTATTTTTCTTTTTTGAATACATTTCGCTCTGTACCCACGTAAGCCAAGAAGGCTTGTGTGTGGGACGCGGCAGGTGGCTAACAACCAGATTTTGTACAGTTTTAACTCTTTCTACGAGTTTAAACAAACCAAACGAATCATAAGAAAAGAAGAAGCTCCCACATACACGTCCATTATGACCGGTGGAACAGGCCTCTATTAGTCACATACTGCTATTTAGTAATATATCTCAAAGCATTGTTTCAATATATATTTCGTACAGTGGTTACGGTCGTATATTGGCACTTTTATTAATTCGCACTTTGTTTAATTTTTCTGTTCATTGATCCATATTCTTGCCATTTTTTTCATTGCATGTGGATTTTTGCACTCAATCAACTCCTCAGGTAGTTCGTTAAAAAGTTTAGGCACATAATATTTTCTTGTAGACTCTCCATACTTTGTCTTTATTAATGGCTCTAAATATTTCCTATTTGGTCGTAATGTTCTTTCTTTAACAATTTCTATTTTGTGGTTGTTGATTAAAAAGAATTTTGTGATTATGTCATACTTCAATTGATCACTAAAATAAAATACGCCTATTTTTTTATGTATGTCATCTATTAAATCGCTTCTCTTTTTGATTTGGCAACCGATTCTTCTGAATATCTGTTTTTGGAGAGTTTCAACTTTTCTTTGTAGGTATTTGGCACAGTGCCCATAAACAGTTATTCCATATTGAATTACAGATTTTCCTAACGAGTTATAAATCATTTTCAGTACAGAATGGGGGACCATATCTTGCATGTGAAACATATAGGCCACCAGTGTCCTTAATTTTTTGCAAACTTGCTCTATGTGTGAGTCCCATTTAAGATGTTGGTCTATATACATTCCAAGGTATTTTACATTTTTTACATACTCAATTGGTAGGCATGAACAGTTATTACAATTTTTATTGTGCATTTTAATAGGTAATTCAGTTAATAGTTTTTTTCTGGGATCTCTAAAGCACATTATTTGAGTTTTTGAAGTATTTACGATAATTTGATTTCTACAGTACCACTGAAAAATATTGTGAATGTCTTCTTGTACTTCTCGAACGGCAACTTCATAATTTTTGTGGGCGTATACAATTACTGTGTCATCTGCAAACTGAAATAATTTGCTTGTTAGTTTTACTTGCGCAATTTCATTGATATATAAATTAAACAATAGGGGGCCCAGAACTGTACCTTGAGGTACTCCTTGTTTTACTCTAATTGTTCTACTATATTTCGATCCTAGTCGCACTATTTGATATCTGTCTAGAAGATAATTTTGTAACAAGTCATGCACTTTTCCCCGAATCCCTATGCTGTATAATCGGTCTAATAAAATAGAGTGATTTATCGTTTCAAATGCCCGTGTAAAATCTATAAAAACAGCTAATACATATTTTGTACAGTCAATGTTTTCATATACGTAATCAAAAAAGTCTTCCAAAAGATCTGAAGTTCCCATTTTTTCTCTGAAGCCATATTGCGTGTCAATTAATATGTTATGTTTCGCGATAAAACTCCGAAGTATTTTATTGATGTATTTTTCCATTATATAATTAACTACCGAGAGTATACAAACGGGTCTATAATTAAGTAATTTATTTTTCTCGCCCTTCTTATATATTGGCCGCACAATAGCAGTCTTAAGTTTTTCAGGAATGATACCAGTTGAGAATATGCAGTTATATAGCTGGATCAGAACTGGTTTTATTATGTGGATGTGGCACTTAATGTCCCTTGCCCTTATTTGATCATATCCCACTGCTTTATTAGTTTTGATTTGGCCCACGATTTCTATTAGGTCGTTCTCAGACATCTCCGGAAGAAAAAGTGAGTCAGAGATTCTGTTTTGATTAGGTTGCCTTTCTGTTGGCATAGAGCAAAGTTTTTCAATTGACTGAACATATTCTGTATTGAATTCATTTGCAAGCGTTTCCATATCATGATAATTTCCAAAGTTAACTTTAATTACGTCTTCTATCGATTTTTTCCTTTTTCGTCCTAGCAGTTGATTGACTAGTGACCAGCATTGTGCTATGTCTTTTGTTTCTGAAAATTTAGTCCAGTAGTAATTTCTTTTCGTACATCTTATGATGGAAGTCACTTTGTTCCTAATTGCTCGATAATTTGTTTCATAAGTTTTATTATTCGGAAAACGCTTCAAGAGCTGCCAGGCCTTCGTTTTTTCCTTTATTAGGTCGTCTATCTCTTTAGTTATCCATTCATTTTGTTCTTTACGCCTTTTTACGTTACTTTTTTGTGTTGACTTTTCATAAATCTGTTTAAATATGTCTATAATTTGGTCGTAAAGCTTTACTGGATTTTGTTCCTTTGAAATTTCTTTCCAGTTGATTTCCTGTATGTATATATCTACTTTTTTATTATTAATAAAGGAACTCTCAACATACGCTTGTCGTGTAGTTTTAAAGAAGTTTGAAATAGTTACTGCTACAAAATAGTGGTCGGCTACTTTCTCTGAGATAACTTGTCCCTCAGATTTCCCTTCTTTTGTCCGTGTATGTATATGGTCTATGCATGACTGAGTTAGTCTCCCTCTATATATTTCCTCTCTTGTGAAATCCTGTATAATCGGTTCTAGACCGGATAGTACCATGCTATCAAGGTAATTATTTGTCGTCGGATTCGATCTATGTGTGTCAATGTTTATGTCACCTACTACAATCATATCATTGTCTTTATTCTCGTTTAACCATTTATTTACGTCATCTATGAATTCACCTATATTTCCTTGTGGTGCTCGATACAGACTTAATACTAAAAATAGTTTTCCGTTTTTTTCAAGTTCGACGTGAAGAGCCTCTGTTGAGGAGAATTTAATCTTTTTGCTATTCTTTATTTTTAATTTCTGATTTATTATGACCATAGTTCCACCTCCTTTTCGGTCGTCTCTACTATGTGACAACACTTCAAAGTTACCAAGCACAAACAGCGTCTCTTCCTCAGGCTTTATATTGGTTTCTGAAAATACAAGAACATCTAACTTGTCTAGGTAAGGTTCCACCAAACTGTTAATTTCATTCCAGTGCTTCTTCAAACTGCGGACATTGGCGTGTAATAGAACAAAACAACAGTCATCAATAGTAGCGGATACACTTGTCCACCACTTTGTAAAAGATGAATATGTTTGTTTTCCATCCATTTTGGCTTTATCTTATTTTATCGATATCACTGTGCGTCTTGATACGTATCGCCCGATCACCGTCCTGTTTCCTTAGATAGGTGCAACCCCCTCTGTGCCACGTGTAGCGATATCCCAGTGATTTAGCTTTTTCTCTAGCTTCGAAAAAAAGCTTTTTGTTTATTTCGGTTAGGTTTTCTTGTAAGTAGATGTTGTCGTTAGAATCTTCGGATCGCAGTTTCTTCTTGTTTTTTAGCCATTCGTCTCGTGTGCTCCGGTTTAAGAATCTAATCATTATCGGGGGTGTTTTTCCCTTTCTCGATGGAACGCGGTGCACTGCTTCAACGTCCTCTTTCTTTAGTCTCGTTACTTGTAGTTTGTCCGCGACACAAGTCAGTTTTTCCATTAGGTCCTCGTGTTCACTGACAAGAATTCCGTGGACTTCGATATTGTTTAACCTGCCGTATTGCTCGAGGTTGTTAAGGTCTTGCTTTAATTTGTTGATTTCTTCGTTAGCTGGGCTAGTTTCTTCAAGTTTTTTCACTCTTGTTTTGATCTCGGTCATTTCTGCTTCCTGCACGGTTAGTTTTTTCATAGCCTCGTCATATCTGTCTGACATTCTTTGTACCTTTCTTTCAATTTCTTGTACAGTTTCTTTTACACTGGCCAACTCGTCGACCTTCTTTTCTAGTGGACCGAGAACCACTAACATTTGCGCAATCTCTGCTAATTTCTTGTGAATGTCAAGTTCGCCATGCGATGCATTTGTTTCTAAATCGCTTGGTTTCGATCGCTTTTTCGAAATGCGACATGTCTGACATACCCAGCTCTCTCTCAGGCTAGTTGATTCTTTTTTTTCTTTCACTTTACTCTTAGGCACGCCAGAGCAATTTCCTAAATGATAGGCGAATCTACATTCAATACACTGTATGTCCTTGCCATCTCCCTCCAACTTTAGGTTACAGTTCAAACAATATCATTTTCACTCCCTGAAGCCATTCACAATACCAACACACCCCTCGCAGTCAGCAGCAGGTTTTCCGTTTTTTGAAAAACAGCGTAATGTGTGACTTGAGTTCTCACCTGTAAAAGTTTGGATGTTACTATCTGGTGTAGCTCCTG